AAATGTCTTGCCCCATTGACTTCCATTAATGTCACTGAAATATGTGCCTGCTTTTACAAACTGAGTCTTCCCTGTGGTTACAACATGCCACAGATGCTGTTGGGTGATGTTAGTATGCAAACACAGACTTTGGTTTTATATCAAATTATCTCATAAACATATTTCAGAGAGGCATTTTATGATGGCCATCCCATCTAATGTGGAAACGGAAGTAATAACCACTTAGATCTTAAAGAGGACACATGTCCTTCAATTCCCATCAGTGCTATTGTGAAGTACATCACACTGAAGGGTAGTTGGCATGTATCATGTCCACAGTCTGAACGGCAAGTGCTTAGTGCACCATTTGGGACAAGGCCATCAAAGCACAAATGTTCCTTATAGCCTCAAATTAAAGGGTTTGTTCACACAAAAATGAAAATGTACTCACCTTCATGTCATTCCAAACTTGTATGACTTTCTTTGTTCTCTTTAGAACACAAAAGAAGACATTTCTTGACAAATAATTTTCAAAAAGTAATTCTAAAAATCTAAATATCTTCTTTTATGTACCACAGAATAAAGTCTCTAATATACTTCAATTGAAATGGAATTAAATCAGCCAAAAGCGAAGTTTGTTTGGAAGTTTCAAAGCTGACTTTCTTTTGGAAATCTTTTCCGGTTCATTTTTTCTGTTCAGTCTGTTGAGGTCAGATGTGAGTAAAAACACCAACACACTTAAGAGCTGCTTTACAATAGAAACTCCAATTGTAATTCTACTTTAAAAGCAATATTGACATGATTTCTTTCATATTTATAATGTGTAGCTACTTGCTTCAATGCAACCTAATGTATAAAGTGCTACATAAATAAAAGTGATGCGACTTGACTGGAAGACCGTAAAGAAAGTCATACAGGTTTGGAACAACATGAAGATAAGTAAATTATGACAAACTTTAAATTTTCAGGTGAATTCACCCTTTAATTAGAGTAAGAGGTTGGGAAATACTGTATGTACTTATTAAATAAATGCTTTTTAAAAATAGTTTAGTTGGAGTAAAGCACATCACTCCCCAGTACGTGTCAACCTTCCAAATTTATTACAAGTCAAATACCCATAAGAAACAAACCTAGTCTCAAAATAGTTCAGAAGAGAACAGATCAATAACAATAAGATGCAGAGAGATATATAAAATACAGGGGGACACAGAAAGGAGCTGACAGTTATTTGATTAACATTGACTGAAGCCGAAGCATCTACACCTCACTATAACAAAGCACTGAGGGCTCCCATGGGAGGGTACATTGGTAAATGAGACGCAGTAAAATAGAAACTTGCCTCGCCAATTTACTGTACGTGCATGCAAGTGTGGGAGTGTGTTTACCTCAGCACCAATTACAATACTCCTTGCAGACTCATCTGATATAGAACCATATATATATGGTGAATAAATACATTTTTAGCACTCTTATAAAATACGAGAGCAGACGACAATAACGGGAGTGAGGAAAAGAGAGACAGTGATGGCAGCTCTCTAAAGGCAGGATGAGAACAAAGGGTGGAGAAAGAATAGAGCTGACAATAAGAGTTCAACAGATGCGGGAGGAGCAAGAAAGAAGTAAACAGGACATCGGGGCAAATTTACATGTCTAAAAGAGTTAAAAAGAGCAGACAAAAATATTTCAGGGAACAATGAAACAAGTGTTTAAAAGAGCAGCAAAGAAAGGAGTCGTCGTCGCTGGTATTGTTTTGCTGGTGTTGTTCAAATTAAGGTTAATTTTTATCATGTATGTTCAGTGTGGGATTCTCATGCTCTTGAGGGAATGTGAAAATACTCTTAACCTTGGCTGGTAAACACCAACATGTTGTCATGGAGCCAGAGGTCATGAGGGCGTGAACATGCAAAAGGTCACGGTGGGTGGCTGATGGAGGTATTAAACCGTTAGACAAAGAAGCATGACCACACACACACAAGGAAGCATTATGAGGTGCATTATAGAATCATCGCTGATGGTTGCTGCAGGAACTCATATTTGTATGTCAATACATAATTTCAACCTCCATTATCTACCATGACCTTTAACTTTTATGCTGTCATAGCTTATTACTTATTACTTAACAATCAAGGACATTTTTCCTTGACTTGTTACTTTACCTGTCACCCGTCCCCTCTGTGGGACGCCTAAGTTTACTTCACTATATTACAATTAAATCCTAATCTAATCATGACAAACTATATATCGTTGGAAAGGTCTAAGACTCCCAAATAGATATTTTATCAATGTTATTGTTAAAAATTATGTAGTTCTGACCTTTGTCAAAAAAAGTCTTCTTTGTGGCCTTTTTCTCTATCACACTTTAGAAATCATCAGATATTATATATCAATTGAAAACTTTAAATCTCAAAATTCATCCTTTGAAACCCATTTTAAAATCAAACATTGCATTTCCATGAAAATGGTACATCAATATCATGTTACAAAATGTTTTAGTTCATGAATTATAAAAATGTAAGTTTGGATCGTGCACTTTCACAGTTAAGGGGTTAACATGCGCTCTACTTCTCAATTTCATTTCCTCTTTTTATATACCTTATGTATATACCCTGGCAAAAATTGCTTGATAATAACCTGTTATAAACAAAGAAATAAAATACGGACTCACAACTAACCTATTTTCCAGAATTAATAGACCAGTTTCATTTACTTGTATCTTCCCCCAGGATATCTGCATTCCTTGGAAGTTTGGCATTAATTCTTTCCTTGAACTTACTGGTTCTTGCCGCACTGAATATCTTCAAAGCATAGCTGAGTTTGTGTGCAGGATGTATTGTTAAAGGAAATTACTTTTTGTTATGGTATAAAAAATTTCATTAAATTAAAGTGCTAAATAAATTTATTTATTTATTTGTCTTTATTTTATATTACATATACACTGCCTACAATTGACTGTGGTGCATGAATTTGAAAGTAAATAATAATTTAAAAAAGTTTTACAATTGCAAGCCTAGATGTACGTACATTAATCCAGTGCTATCTGCTACCTGGAATGTGAGCTTTGAATACAGATTTTCTAATTATTTCCAATCTGTTTCTACCACACACAGTCTTCATCTATCATTATGCCTGCATGTCTTTCTCTTTTCTTTGAGGAGAAGCATTTATCCACACTCTTATACACATGAAAATGACACGAAAAATGGCTCCCTTAAGCTTCCCTCCTGTCTTTTAATCCTTATTTAATCCTTATCATCTTTTTTTAATATTTTAGATTAATTTCTCTATTGCAGATCAATTAGAGTAATTGCTGAAACATGCATGTCATTGATATGAGCTACCATGTGGTGCTTCTGGCTCATTCATACAGCAGCAGGCCTGTACAACATCCCAGAAAGCAGTGCCAGCGCTAATTCAGTTATCACACACACACACACACACACACACACACACACACAGTCACATGTGATGCCGTTTACCTCCCGTGCCAGATTGTTTCTCAGTTTTCATTAAGTTAAGCATTGAACGCAGAAGTACGACCTTCATATACACTTCATCAGAGAAATCCAAAGAGAGGAAGAGAGAGAGGGAGCTTTCACAATGATATACTGCTCCCACCCAAATCACAAATGGTATTATGGAAAGTGGATATAAATATTCAACAGCTGGTTAATGAGAAGAGCATAAATATCATTTACATGGTCACATATATTAAATGGAACTGTATCAATACAAACAGGAAAACTGAAGTGATAAATAATGAAGCATTAATGCATAAGACTTTAGGATTTAGGTTTAGGTTCGGATGTAATCATGTTTATTAATACGATTTCACTTAAATGTTTATTTAAAAGAAGACATATTATGCCCCTTTTTACAATATGTAATATAAGTCTCTGGTGTCCCCAGAATGTGTCTGTGAAGTTTCAGCTCAAAATACTCCACATATAATTTATTAAATAATTTTGAAAATGCCTATTTTGAGTGGAAGCAGAAACACAGTTTATCGGGCCTGTCTGTTTAAATGCAAATGAGCTGCTGCTCCTCGCCCCCTTTTCCAGAATAGAGCTGCGCCATAACAGCTCGGACCAGCTAAAAGCATCTGTTTTGGTTCTGATTATCATGTTTATCGCGCTGAAATAATGCGTTTTAAACCATATGAGTTTAAACTTCTGATATACGGTTTTCTGAGTGCACACACCGACAGAAAGCGGCTGTCACAGCATGTGAGTATTAAACTAAGTTCTCATTCACACACAAGTTTACGTTAAAAACACACGAGTTACAAAAAAACAGTCGGTTATGTCTGTGAAGGTAAACAGCTGGGAAATAAATCGCAGGTTTATTTTAGATCTGTGTGGCAGCAGCAATATACAGTCAATAAATCAATAAATCCACTGCTGTCTTGTCTCCTCTGAGGCTGGTACTGTAAATAGTGCTTTGTGCTCGTTTGTGCAGCCAAAGACAGAACAATTAGCATGTTTTGCTCAAACTTTCGCCATGGCATTAGAGCTGGTACACCGTTGTGGCTTGTGAAATCAAATGAGGGCGCTGTGGGTGGAAACGTACAGATTAAGGGGCGGTAATATTATAATGAGATCCCTTTGCCACGTCACCAAGGGAGCGAAATCAGACACGCTCGTTTTTTCAGACGCTTGCAGAAAAAGGCTTACCAAAACAAAGTTACTGGGTTAATCTTTTTCACGTTTCCTTGGTTGGTAGATGCACCGGGGACCTGATTATAGCACTTAAAACCTGGAAAAGTCAGATTTTCATGATATGCCACCTTTAAAAAAAAAAAAGAAACAATCAAATCGTACACTGCCATTAGCCATGACAAAATCTTATTAAACATAAACATGTCAAAACTGTCACCGCTGATTAAAAAAAACACCATTCTTCACACTTCACTTCACACTGGAATAACAACTAAAAAATACACTTTAAAAATGGAATTACCAACCTAAGTGTGTGTGTGTGTGTCACAGTCTGTGCAGATGGAGGTTACTGATGTTTGACACAACATCTACTTTTTTTCTTGGATCAGCAGAGAGAGACACTGTTAGTGTTGTACAATTGTTTTCTAATGTACTAAAGTGTACAATGTATAGCCTACTACATTATACATATATATAAAAAAACAACAACAACAACTTGGGACCAGATTTACTAAAAGTCAGTGCCAGTGCAAACTCTCTTTTAGCATTAAAAAATGCTGTCAGAATTTACTAAAGACACGTAGTGAAAAATTAGTGATGGAAGGTGTGGACAGAGTTATTTTTGCAGCTGACCTTATTGCATATGCATTTGTAGGAGTTTCCCTTAGATTCAAAATTTATGGGAGGTGATTATTTGAATAAGTAATACAATGTGATTTACTAGGGTTTGTGGTATTCAATTTATTATTTTGTGTGATTATTTAACACCCAAAAGGCATGTCTTAACCTATTTTGCACTTGGCATGGCTGCGATAGTAATTCTCTTGGTAGACCTGATTGATCATTATGGAAATTACCTATTTAGTAAATATGGCCCTATGATATAGAGTGACCCCCAAAATATTTAAACTTAGATTATACACTAAAAAAATCCATTGGATCAGACAAAATATCTCATTTCAAACATGCACTAAAAATTACATTTAAACATTTAAGGTAATTGCAAAACTTGCTCAGATTTTTTTTTTTTTTTTTTTGACACTTTGATATTTTGTTCATGTTTTTTTTTGCAGCTTCAAGTATCATTTACACATATATGAGAATCAGAAATTAACAGGGGCTTAATAGTGGGGCCAGAACTTTTTGGCTTATGTTGTGTGACAAGTTAACAGAGGAATGACAGATGGGGGAAAAAGACCCTATGAAACAATACTAATGACAAGATCAGGTGTGAGAGATTCCTGACAGCTCATCACCTTTAGCACTGGAAGAACATCTGGACTGTCAGTGTGTGCAGAGACACAAAACATGTTTTCACCCACAGACAGATGCTTAAACAACAAGAACATGTGTTTGTATATTACACATACAATGAGCAAGAGGTCTAGAAAGCAAACGCATCTCCATATGCACATGAACACGCACCCATCGCTGTCAGTGAAAGTGTGTGTACACACTGTGACGGTGAACATAAATTGGGGAGCAGCTGTGGAATTAATGTTGCATATCTGAAAGGACAAAGAAAGGGACACCAGAGAGACACAGAGAGAGAATACAAAATGGAAAGAGAATTCAATAAGACTGCATGTGGCCGCTGATAGTGTCATTTATTCACGCATACTTCCTTTTCCATTTCACTCAAGGAATTATGCAAATCAGATAACGGTGTATCCGCATCCACAAACTAGAATGTTAAATGCAATTTGCACTGTGAATTTTACATTGTGCAGATCATTTCCGAGTGCTGACAAAACAAATTTCATAAGATATATGTATATGTTATATATTTAAAATGTACAGTCTCATTCTTCCAGTTAATAAAACCAAAAAATCATGAATCATCAAGAAACTTTGTCCAGTCAAATGCTTTCTGGAGTAAGAACGTCCCGTCCTGATTTTATCTGGACTGCAGGTGAAAGCACTGAAATCCTGGACACAAAACGGCTGTTTCAACTCATTAGTTAATTCGCCCCAGAAAAAAAGATGGCAGAAAATATCAAACTCCAGCTTCCTCATGCCCCCTCCTCAATTAAAGATGAATGCAAGAAGCAGTCTCTCTCTCCCTTTAAAGAGGATGAACTGTGTGAACTCTCGATGGGCTGCTCCCCCACAGATCTATCATGGGGCTTCATTTCTTCAGCTGTAGGACTATCGTGTTGACAGACACTAACAATAAACATAGCAACAGAAAACCTTCATAAAAAGAATAGGCCAACAGAGAGAGAGAATGCTATATACTACATTTTTACAATTCCTAAAAAAAAAAATTTTAATTAAAAAAGAGAGCTCTTTCAGCTTTACATAGTCAGATGCTGGACTGTAGCATAAAGTCTGGTCCACATTATACTTCATTCTGACCAAGAACCATTCATTTAGACAGGAGTTTTAAAATGTAAATATATTCCTTGGATGGCAAAGCTGATTTTCGGCAGTTATTACTAGGGCTGAACGATTAATTGCATTTGCGATAATATCACGATATGAAAAATTTAGATTTTTCAATCGCAGAGGCTGCGATTACACGGTCACGTGACAGGCGAGAGTAAAGAGGTGTGTTCAACTTGAAGATCAGAGCGAGAGAAAGCATAAGGAGACGTCCGCGCTCTCTTATAGCTCTCGCAGTACTTTGATGACACACACCCATGGGTCTAAGCAGCGCTGCTTCAAGTCGAGCGCAGGCCATCAGCAGAAAAAGATAATAAATAAAACAGTAAACAGCCAAAGGACATAATTAGAAAAGCCATAGATGAAGTCACACAGACCCAGGCAGGTGCTGGTCATTTAAAAGCTAAATGCAGAAAATATGATGAGG